CTAAAAAATAAAAAGGACTAAAAATACTAAATAAGATATTAATCTCTTTATTATTTTTTATACTATTTTATAAGCTTATTTTTAATTTAAATCTCTTTAAAAAGCACTAACTAATCAGTTTAATAAGAATAATATCTTTATAAATACTATAAAAATAATTAAAAGTAAAATTAAATAATTTCAAATTAAGCGAAATATTATAGATTTAATAATTAATCATAGTTTATATCTATTCTTTTATAATATTAAAAGCTAATAGATTTTTAAATAAATAAGATGATATTTCTAAATAATATAATATTTCTAGCTAATATTATTAAATAAAACTTTCTAATTAAAGTAACTAATAATATTTACTTTCTTATTATTTCTCTTATTTAATTTCTTAATAATAATAATAGTAAACTTTAATAAATAGAGAGAGGTTGTTTTTTATTTTTTTATATAAATATAAAGATCTTAATTTTAATAACTTATAATAATTTATTTAATAAATAAAATATACCTCTAATATTATAACTAAAGAGAAATATATTATAATTCAAATTTTATGAAGCTAACTAACTATTAAGATTAAATTATGTTTATTTTATATTAATATCATAATGTTTTAAATAAAATGTTTTTAATAATATTAAAATTAAATATAACTATAACTATAAATTTAACTTTATAATAAACTCTCTTTTTGATTAATATCTCTATCTATTTTAATATTAATACTATAGTAATAAAAATAATGTAAAATCATGTTAATATTTTTAGCTATTTTAAAAATATAGTTATAAAGAAAGTTTATAAAAAAGGCGTTCATTATTTTAATCTATTTATATTTTATATACTACCTCTATAAATAGTTTTTAAAATTACTAAAAAACATTTTAAAAAAAAATTAAAGTTTAATAAAAATATAAGTAAATATAGTAACTTAATATTATACTATTAGTAAGTATTTTCTAATTGTTTCTAGTTATATTATATTATATTATTAATAATTAAAACTGATTTTAAGCTAAAACCTCTCTATTTTCAGTAGTATAAAGTTCTTAATCTAATATAACGTTAAAAAGCTATTAATATCTATATATCTAAGATAAATAATATAATTAAGAAAACTATTAATAATAAAAGCTAGCAAATATAATACTATATACTTCTTTTTATAATACTCTATTTTAATGGCTTGATATTTTTCAGCGTTTAATTTATATATTTAATATTATTTTAATAAGTAATACTATTTTTGTTAATAAAAATAAATATATTAATAATATAGTTATAAATTAGTATAATATATACTTCTTATATAGCTTAATTCTATTATTAAATAATACATTAAATCTTTTTTATTATATCTTTTTAAAATAACGTGAAATTATTAATATAAATATAAATAAATTAAACTTTTCTATAAAAAAACCTTAAACTTTATTCAAATAATAATTAATTGTATTATATAAAAACTTAAAAATCACTTCTTTATAAATTAATAATATCTTATAATATCTAAAACCTATTATTTAATATAGTTTTAATATATCTTTAGATACCTCTTATTATTAATAATAGATTTGAACTATTAAAATATTATATTTAATAAACTTTATAATTAATTTATTACTAAAATAATAGATAAATAAAAACTTCTTTAATTAAGCTTATTACTTATTATTTAATAGCTTTAATATTATCTATTTTATAATATTAATATAACTTTAATTAAATATAGCACTAATAAAGAGAATAAATAACAAAAAAGCTATATTTTATATATTTTATATTCCTAGATAAATTTAATAATAAAATTTTTATTAGTAATATATTTAAAATATATTACTACTAAAAAATAAAACATAGTTATATAAATATTATTTTATAAAAAAGACTTTTTAATAATATTAATAGTTAATTTATATTTAGATTTTATAATAATGTATATTAATTTACTAATAATATAAACAGAATAGATAATAATAATACTATAAACTTTAAATTAATATATTCAGCAATAGTTTTAGCCCCCTTAGCGTTTTAAAATATATACTTAAGAAGAGTTAACTTTATAAAAAAAAGATAATATATAGATTCTAAGAAAAAAAAATATTCTAAAGCTATTAATAATTAATCTATATAATAATTCGTATTAATTAATATATTTTTAGCGTTAGCACGTATAAATAAGTAAAAGTAGCGTGGAGGGGCAATAAATTACGCACTAACAGGGGTTTCAGGTAAGGCAAACGCAAATGAGTGCAGTAGAGATTTACGACACTCTAGCCCACATCTTCATCCGTGCGCCTGATCAGACCATTCTGGAGGACACCACCGCACCGCAGCTGTGGCGTGAGGCTGTGCTGCGTGGGGGAATTGGGGGAGGAAGACTGGAAGTGTCTGTGTTCACGGGTGACCTCCTGAAGGATGTGCCCGCGGCCCGTCTTGCCATGCAAGACCTGGGTCGTGAGGAAGTGACTTTGGATGTGGTACCGCTGGATCTTTTAAACATGACAGAACTACCGGCAATGAAGAAGCCACAAACCAGCGAGGGCGAGGCCATAGACATGGAGGCTTTATTGCTCGGCAGATACGCAGAAAAGTCCACGGAGGCCGCAGCAGCAGCAGGAACGGAGCAAGCGGGAACAGGGGAAGCGGCACGTGAGGAGTAGAATGCCTTTAGAACAGCATTAGCTTGTAAGGGTAGGTAGATATGAGAGGCAGAGACGGGTCACATCATGATTGTCGAGTGAGAGGCAAACTCGTTCCGATCGTGACGGAAATGGAGATGTTTCGTTTGTTAGGAATCGATATGTTCAAGACTGTGTCTCTATCAAGGAAGTGAAATGTGATGCCGTGAAGAGGATTGCACAACTTTTCTAGGTATGCCACGAGATTGCCACGAGATGAATCTATCCAGTGCGGATGAGAGAAGGGGATGAGAGAAGGGGGTGAGAGAAGGGGGTGAGAGAAGGGGGTGAGAGAAGAGGGTGACAGAGGGACAGAAGGAGAGGAGAGCAGACCGCAAAGTCCGTTCTGACTGTCGTGAGATAGTGACTTTCTATCCGGATCAGTGTCCAAGTATCCTCTACTTTCTCCGTCGTACCTAGCAGACGTGATGCTGCGAAGAGCATTGCCGTGCGTCCGATCCCATGATCAATGGGGGCGCACCGGCTCGGTGTGGGGCCGAGATCGGCTCCGAGTACACCTCTTCAGCAGGCCAAAATCTCCTCTGCTGAGTACCTTCATGAGGGCAGATGACACCAGGTTGTCGTTTTCTCAAAGTCTAGGCTGAGGAACTAAATGAGTCCAAGCGGTTGATCCTCAGCTTGGTAAGTCGGAATATCTGAGGTCAAAACCCTTGCATTGGGGGACGGCCCCGATTACTGGGAATGGCCTGCTTGCCAACTCGCTCGCCTCACTGACAAAACATGGTAGGGGCAACAGGGAAGGAACGAAGGATGATGGGGAAAAAGTGCAAATCGAGTCCCCGCTACGTCGGCAGTTGTTCGGGGGACGTTGCAGTGGATGTGGCTTGGGGTCACATGCGGCAGTGGCACAGCAGCGTGCCTATCGATAGAGATAAGATATGACAATTGGGACGCGATAAGATATTGTAGAAGGAGGGGCCGTCAACAAGTGCGCTCCCAGAAGTCGGCCGACGGATCTAGACGCGTGCCGATCTGAATTGTACGGCCAGATTAACATCGCGACCGGGCTGTCACCTCTCACAACGACCCCCGCCTCCGGCCGCTGACAGACGACTCTCCTCCGGCGGGGAAAAAAAAAACAGCGCGTCTCTGAACTTCACATCAAGGGCGAAAAACAAAAAGGGGGGGCTATCGCGGCCATGGAGGAAGCGCACCGCAAAATCGAGCTGCAGTCCAATGAGGACCTGGCATACCTGCTCGACAACGTGCGCCGCGCCGCGCAGGACCAGCTCGACAAGGCTTTCCCCCAGATCGAAGGGAGCAGCGCGCAGGAGGACGAACTGAGGGCGCCCATCGAGCGTCTCGTCAACGAGGTAAGGACCCAAATCCACCAACCAAACACCAAACACAAGAAACGAAAAACAGCAAATCCAGAATGCTAACCTTCTCCCGCGAAAAACAGTACATCAACAAGACATTCACCTACGCCGCCCCGAACCTCTCCATAAACGGCCTCGACGCCGACCCCGCCGTCTTCCTCTCCCCCAACCGCAACCCCGACGAGCCCGAAGAGGCCTACGAGCCCTGGGACGCGCGCCTGCGCCAGCGCGTCGAGGACCTCGCCCGCGAGGAGGAGGACCTCCTCAACGAGATAGCCGCCCTGAAGAAGAGCGTGCCCGGCGGCGTCGCGGCCGCCATCACCCAGGACTTCAAGACGTCGACCGCCGCAGACGAGGCGGCGGTCGAGGCAGCTAAGAAGGCGCGCGAGGACGAGCTGAAGGCGAGGGACGCGGAGGTGCTGCCGCTGGACGAGGTGGAGAGGCAGGGCGAGACGAAGGCGGCGTTCGGGGGCGCGGTGGAGAGGCTGGGCAAGCTGAAGAAGGATATGCCTGCGACTGTGGCCAAGATGGAGAGGGCGAGGGTCGCCGGCGAGTATACCGTCACGGAAAGATCGTAGGGCGGTTGGGTTCAGGAGTTTTCGGCGTTGGGTTATACCACATAAAGTCTGCCGACGCGTTTCTACGCGTTAATCGTCAAAATCTCACGTCTATCCATGTTGGATCTGGTTGTCACGAAATATGCTAATTCACGACGAGAAGTTAAAGTGAAAGCGATAGTATGTATATTGTAGATAAGGTAACATTTCAGCCAAGGCCAACGCGTGTATGAGCGACTCTACAACAGAAGCTCTTATTTTTAACCATCCCCAAGCCCGCTCCAATTTCATCAACTCTCATGCAACAAGCCTCGCCAACGCCTCACCTTTGACTGGTGTCGTCCAGTATCAATAGCGCCTGGCCCCCAAAACAACAATCTCCCCGAGCTTCGACTCAAGCATGGCAATCTACCAGGAGACGCTTATGCCGCAGCAGGGGCCTTGGCGGGGTCGGCAGCACCGTCAGTGGTGACGGCGGTGCCGGCGGGGGCCGCGCCGCCAGCGGGGGCGGTGACGGTCTCGCCGCCCTTGTTCTCGATGACGTCGCCAGCGGCCTTGGGCTTGGCCCACCAGGGCTCGTTCGTGAACTCCTTCTCTTGCCACGGGCCGGCGTCGCTCCACTCGCAGCCGCCCTGGCACTCGCACTTACCACCCAAAGACTTGGGCAGGTTCTCGGGCGGGATCTGGTTGAGGAGCTCCTTCTGGTAGCCACCGCCGAGGATGTTGATCTTGGAGACGGTGACGGGGTCGAGCCAGCCCTTGATAACACTCCAGGCGGTGGAGAATCCCCAGGGAGCGTTGATGATGTAGAGCTTTCCGAGACGCTCGGGGTAGTAGTTCTGGGAGATGACGGAGGCCTTCTTGACGTAGTCGTAGACCTGGGGCAGGCGAGTGATGGGAACTCCCTTCATATCCATGATTGTGCAGCAGGTCTCGACAAGGTGGTTGTACTTGCGGGAGCAGGCGGGGAAGCGGGGGTCGGCGCACTTCTCGTACTCGACAGCAAGGTTGGTCAACATGCGCTCGGCCGTGGTGATCTTGTACATGGCGGTCAAGTCGATGCCACCGTAGTGCTCGATGTAGACGGGACGGCCATCCTGTTGTGATCGTTAGCGAACCTTGCCTATGGACCAAAGGTGTTTCTCAATTCGAACCTTGTCGGTCTTGTGGTAGTACTGGGGGTAGTACTTGAAGATGTCGGCCTTCTCGGGGTAGTCCCAGCCGGCAATGGTGTCGTCCAGGTTGGTCGTTTTACGCCAGGTCTCGAACTCGACGAACCTGGAAACGGAAGATTAGTCGACGGTCTTGTAAATCGTGGAAACACGGCGGGCAAGCTCACATCTGCTTGGAGAGGTTGACATCGAACTTGCGGGCGCGCAGGAAACGCAGCTGTGTATGCCATGTTAGCCGGGACTGGACACGCAACCCTTATCTTGCGGTCTAGCTTCCGGGAAGTCGTACCAGAGTCAGGGTATCGAGACGCTTAGAGTAGCCCTCAGACTCGAGCATCAGACGCAGCTGGGCGACCTGAGCCTTCTGCTCCTCGGTGAGGTGGCCAGGGTGACCGGGCTGGGCCGTCGGGGCGACAGTCGGGTAGTCGAACTGGTCATACTTGGGGTCGAGTTCGGTTTGGGCCATGGTGGGGCTGTTTAAGGGTCTTCTTCACGAGGAAGAAGAACGGTGTAGAGGGAGGAGGTGGTTGTGGTTGAAGAGGGAATTTCCCAAAAAGGCGGGGTTGGAAGAAGGAGGGAGAGGCGGTGGTTTTGAATCAACACGACGGTCAGTCAGTTGTTGTTCCAAGGAAGAAGAGCACAGAGAGGGCGACCGGGATCGTAGGTGTTCAGGAGAGAATAGACACTGGAGCTGGCCTGGCTGTGGGGAAGGAAGAGAGATCTCCTGCACAAGTGTAGGGGCGGCTTGAGAGGTTGAATTAAAGTGCACTTCGCTGGCCGTATGCCAAAATTCGTCATAGCGACCGGTCCCGCACGCTGTTGCCCCTGGTTGCCCCTCAAAATGGTACTAGCCAGCCTACACCGCACTTGCGCACCCGCATCTAATAGATACGAAGTACGTATGCTCTTTCCCATCAGCTCCATGAGCATCGCCCGCCACGACACTTACGTAACCCACTAAACCGCCGCCCACGCGCGGCCAGAGGCGCTGTAGATTGGTAGATTAGTGCATCTCGGCGAACGGCACCCAGCCCTGCCAGTGAACCTGGAACCCGGCCAGCAAGCGTGGTAGCATGCAGTGTTCCAGCACTATTTCGTTGGGCGACATGAGTCGAGCAACTCGAGTGGTGGCAGTGGCACGGAAAAAAGTGGCTGACTGGCTTAATTCCGGCCCTATGAGACATCGGATGGTTCTCAACGAGGTTGCTGTTGGGATGTGACATATGTCTGCTGGTGGGCGGTTCGCTGCGCTGGGACGATTCCGTCCGTGGTGTTGCACGGAACAATTCTGTTAGGCTCAAGACACCATCGGCAGCCGGGGTCTTTCACAATCCGGACTATGTATTTGATGGCTAAGCCACGCTCATTAGGCCGGTTGCCCGTCATTTAACCCTGGGACTCGTTTGAGGCTCTCAATTTCCGGGGCCGCATCATGACGAATCTTTTAGGGGATGGAACATTCGCACACGAGGCCTCCTTGAATTGCTGAAAAAATATCATGAAATCTTTTAATTGGTATCAACTCTCCGACTAGCCACCGGCCTTGGTCTTGTCCTCGTCCTTTTCGGCGCCCTTTCCGTCTTCCTTGTCTTTGCGCTTCTGAACAACCTCCCAGTTGTAGACTCTCGCAATGGCAACTTCCATGGTCTGCTCTCTGTCAATGGGTGGTGTTCCAGGTAGCGCAAGGGGCGTGAACGTACCGTAATCTGCTCTCTCAGGAAGTCCAAGTCCTCCTCGCAGTTTGATAGACTCAGTTTCGCCGTCGACAGCTTGGATTGCAGCAGCGTCTCGGCCTCATCGATGGGGTACGACAGCATCACGTTGGCCTGGCTTCGATCAGCATCATCATTACGCCTTCTGTTCAGAGAAAACGCACGCCCAGCCAGATGTAGACCTCGTTCGTCGGCGGGATCTTCGCCTTGGAGTATAGAGTGTCGTTCAGCTCGAAAGTCGTCTCAATCGGCTCGTCCTCATCCTGCGCAGTGTCAACACCCCCTATCTTGTTGCCCTGCGACTGGGGACTCCAACCTGTCTCAGCTTCAAGAACTGCACGGAGTCGAGCGTCTTCTGGATGTCGGGAATCTTGTCCTTCAATCCAGCCATGCGCTTCTGAAGGTTCAGCTCCATGAACTGGTATTTCCTGCACGTACACCAAGTGTTACCAAATTGTCCTGTCGTGTGTCCCTCTTTCGTCGTTTCGGTGTCCGTTCCGATTCGAATTGCGGGCGGGCGCTCGTCCATTGCTGGGCGACTCACGAAATCATCTCCTGGAAGTTGCGCAGAGTGGGCTCGACATCTTCGCGGGTCGTGACGTAGTCCTCGACCTTGTCGACGAACGGCGCCTTGGGGATTCCTCGAGGGTTGCTAGGCGTAGCATCCTTGCTGCGTACAGAGAAAATCGGTCAGCTTCGTCGAAATGACTGAACATAAACTGGAGGCAACTACCTGGCCGTCTCCGGCTTCTTTCCCTCTGCCGACATTGTAGAAATAAAGAGATGGTGCTTCAGCGCATCATCTGTTGGTCGGAAGGAGCTTGCGATTTTTCGCCAACGGTGTGGAGGGGAGCTGCAGTGACGGTCCGCTACTCACCCGATCTACGGTGGCCTGTTCACCGAGGTGAGGGGTACCTTCCCTGCCACCGAACTTGACTTGGTACGGGCGGATGGTGGGGTAGCTAGCTACCTTAACACAGATGCCACACCGAGACACAGAGATGTAAATGGTCGCCTCAAATACTTCTATATGATTATCCTGTTCGTTAATGGGAATGGTGGTTTCATGTTTCTTGCAAGTGCACGTCAGTTTCTTCAGCTGATTTACCACCATCGTAATTATAGTGACTTCTGACTTCAAATCATCCACCCACTGCCGTCTTCGTCGTCAACTACACACGCATCATTGTTTCGACTTGCATCAACTCTATCTTTTACGGCCTCAAATATCATTAACCCATTTACAGCGCTGGAAGCCATCTCTCCATACCGCCTAAAAGGAACTCATAAGCACATTCGAAGCAAAAAATAGTAAACAAAGGCAAAAGAAATGATCATTTTCCGAAACCGAGAATCGAACTCGGGGCTATGCCTAACCTCGCATCGAAGATGAGAGGGCATCATGTTGGCCACTACACCATATCGGATTCAACTGTTGAAAACCTGCGCCGTTGCGGAGACTTGTGTGTGGTGGAGCGGGGCCGCAAAGTCTGCACGATCCCGCGATTAGGGCCAGGAGTGGATAGATACAGCTTGAAGTGTTCATTGGTTCCAGCCTCTTTCATCATCATGATATTCTACAAAGCCTTTCATGCCGCCGTCATACAAGTCTAATGCCGGGCACAAACCAACCCCCTTCTATTCCTTATTCTCAACCCTGCGCTGCAGAATGTGTCTCGCGTTCGCGGGGGTAAGCGTGTCGATATCCAGCTCCTCCAACGTCTTCTTCGCCTCCGTGTTATCAGTGAACACCCTATCGCTCGCCTCCTTGAGTGACAGCCCTCCCTCTACAGGTTCGGTCGGCAGGTTGAGCAGTTTCAGTGCATCGACCAGGCTAGTCATCGCCCCGACGCCGTTGGGGATGTACCTCTCAACGAGCGAAAAGATGGCGTTCACGTCGCGGGTGAATTGCGCTGCACCGAACGCCGTGAAGCTAGCCCTCATAAGAACCTCGCCCCAGAGCAGATCCTGCAGTTTGTCGAGGGTGGAGCGCCATGTGCGGCGGAAGGCGGCGGTGCTGAGTGCCTTGACGAGGAAGTCGAGATTGCGCTTTAGGATTCTCAGTGGCTCGTCCAGCTCAGGGGTGACGGCCAGTTGAGACGGGTCGACTGCGGCAACGTTAGTCAATGCTTCGGTGTCGGTATCGCAGGTCTACTTACCCTCTGAGCCACTATCGCTAATGGTCGTCCACTGCGTTCTCGTTGCATAGGCCCTGGAGGCCTTGTAATGGGAGTCGGCAAGCGCGTTGACCAAGAAATCCTGCGCCGTCTTACGTCGCAGACTATACGCCGCGATCGTCTCGTCAAACAGAATGCCATCGTCCGTATCGGACCCAACAGCCGTGGACGTGCGATCCTTGACCTCTTCGTAACTCATCTCGCCAGACATTCTGGAAGGCTCGCCATCTTTGGTCGCGCGTGATTGAAGCTGGTCCCACAGCGTGACGAAGAACTCCTCGTTGCTCCAATCCTTGAGGGTGTTGACGACGTGATCAGCACTACCGTAGACCTTGCACAGTGATTCGAGAGCGCCCGTGCCTTCGAGAGCTGCAAGCTGTTCTTTCGTGACGCCGTGCAATGTCCTGCCGACGGTTGATGTGAGCGCTTGGTAGGCCTCGAGAGAACCCCGCAGGCGATCATGAAACTCGTCGAGGATGTCGAGCTGGATGCCGATCAAGAAGCGGATCTTGTGCTTGAACGTCCGGACTCTCTCGTACTGGGTCGTGATCGATCTCAGCAGGTCAGTAACCCGCACAGCGCCAAAGGTGGGCTTCGTCTTTCCGGTGCCAGTATAGTCGTAATCGATGTTGCGCGCGTCCGGTGTTGCCATGATGGCCTGGAAACGTTCCATGGCGAATGCCTTCTCCGCCTGGAACCAGGGCTCGAACCACTCCTCCAGAACCTCGGACGCAAGACCAGGCCAGCCTTGGTCCGCATTTCCGCCGTCGTAGTTGAACTTGGAGCGGATGTTCTCATCAAAAGTCATAAGCTGGCCCATGAGACTGCTCAGGAATGTCGGGTTATTAGCAGCATCTGCGGTCGCGGCTTTGACCTTTTCCCTCATGACAGGGAGCATGCTCGTGATGAAGGCGCAAACTGGGTCGACGTACACCAAGCTGTTTCCAGCAGGAGTATCGCGAAGCTTGGCAGCTAGAGCAAAGCCGAGGTTATCCCTAAAGAAGTCCTCCCACTTTTCAATGGTTGCCAGAAACCAAGGGAAGCAGTGTGTCCCTATCGCGTCAGGTTTGCTTGTTGGTTTGTCGCTCATGAAGTGGAAGCGGAACTCTGATACAAAGATCTTGCTCATGACGTCAAACGGAAGAAGGCTGACGATCGACTTGTTTAGTGTGACCTCGGGAATTTGTAGGTCGATTAGCTTCTCGAAGCATGCCAGCCACTCCTCATCCATCTCAGATGTCGGATCAATCAAGGGCCACGACCTCTTGCTCAGTATAGCCTCAAGCTCGCCAGACATAATCTTCTTCATCTCGTCCCATAACTTATCAGCGACGTTGCGAACATGGTTGACGAGGTGCACAGCCGCGTCGTCCGCCGGCCCGGATAGCTCCTCCAACCGCCTAGACAGCTGCTTCAGCTTCGAGTACGGCTCCAGCGCGGCCTTGGGGCTCTCAGGTAGATGCGACCGGGCTTCAGCCCTCAACCTGTCCACGTCCTGCAAAAGTATCAGGTATTTCTGCGCCAACTCAATCGTCTGCAGCTTCTTCATAGGCCTTTGCAGCCTGGCAATGGCCTGGTTCGGCGCATCAGACGCTGCGGCGATCTTGACACGGACGTCGATGCTGTGCTGCAGCTCCTGGAAGTCTTGTATACGCTGAGCCAGCGAGGACTGGCGGTCGCCAGCGGTGCGGCGGGCTTCGTCGAGCTGTTTGACGGCGTTGTCGAGCTGGGACTGGAGCTGGCTGCGCTGGACCTCTACATTGGCGATCAGGGAGTCGAGGTTCTCGAGGTCGGTGGTGGATTGAAGCTTGTCGTCGAGGAAATCTTCGACTCGAATGTCTAAGGCGCCGCCCGTCTGGACGCGCGCATCGGGTATAGTTGCCATAGCGGGCTGGTCCGGCGTGGTGTTGCGACAGTGCGAGTCGGGATATTGAGATCGCAACGTACCTTAAGGTAGTGTATGGTCTGAACAATGACGTGGAGCTTGAGCTTCTCCGTAGTGGGGTTATACGCATTTATCGAGCTGTGTGCTAATGTACGGTAGTTATGTAGTTAACCGATGTTCTCCGGGCACCTTGCTTAAGCGACAGAGAACGGATTGGATAATGCTGAAAACAATAATAAAGAGCGTGCACTTCGATAACACGGCCTCTCTTCATGAGCAAAAAAAAAAAAAAAAAAAAAAAAAGGGCAAAAGTTCAGTCCGATGAGAATCGGACCTATGAAACTGAGAAGTTTGCATTGCGACACCGGAGCATCTAACCCATTTTCTGTCCGCTGGGCTACGCGGGACGTTGTGTGGGTATCATTGCGCAAAGTTTGATCTCAAGAGCGGACAAGCCAGGGTGTAGGCCCCTGCTTGCTCACTTTACACTGAAGCTATCACACCTCAGATTGGTCAAAACCGCAGGAGAGCTTCAAGACCTACTGTTTAGCATCTCGTTTTAGACTGTATCAAGCTAACATCAATAATTCAGAGAAGGCCGCCTACTTTTCCTGTGGCAGAGCGACTACTTTTCTCGTGGCAATATTCTACCTCACCGTCGTCGTCGTTGCTACTATCGTCTCCGATAAAGTAGGTGTACTTAAGAACACAGGAAATATAGCCGCGCAGACACGGGAAAATTAGGTGGTCTCATTCAGAGGTCCCTAATAGCCGTTATCCAGTCTCCACTAGAAGTATAACTCACGCGCGGTTACATATTAGGGGATTTCTTAAGTATCCTTTAATCGCTGGAGCTTGAAGCTGGATCATCCTGCCTGAAAACACATATTCACCTTTTCTAGGAGGACGTGCAGACGAGAAATTACACGAACACGGAACGGAGGAGACCGCGCGGACATTCACATTTCAGTGGATGCAGGCCGGGACCGGTAGACCCACAATTCGGACCGGATGTGTGGAGGACGTGAGACCCCGGAACCGACCGAGCCAAGGCAGCTGGCATAGAGCTCGATGACCTTGTTTTCCAGGAAACTATGCCCGAGACGGTCTAATTTTCCTGTGTCCGCGTGGCTGTATTTCCTACGTATTTAACTACTTACATAATGAACGACGACAGTGACGATAACGACGACGACGACGACGACGACGACGGAAGACGAAGACGACGACGAGGACGAAGACGACGACGAGGACGAAGACGAGGACGAAGACGAAGACGACGATAACGACAATAGTCACAAAAAGTCACCGGTGCCCTGCACTCTCTCCGTCAGATTTCCAGGACCATATCGGACGACCGACAATAATTTCATCGTATATTCTCGCTCCTGTATGCCATCGGAAAGGAAATAACCATCTGATTAGAGTGGGTTGGACAAGGCTGGCCGAGGCCACTGCGGAGACTGCTGGCGATCGACCCGCGGATCGTGAAGACGACACTGGAGCTGCTGGGGGAATGGTCTGCATTGCAGATCCAACTTTTACTTTAGCATCGAAGACGATGTCCGTAATCTTGTCGGCTGAATGGAAGCCGAAGCAGATGCCAGACTTTCGATAGATCCTGGGTCAAGAGACAGCTCAACGAGTGCACAGACCGAAGTTAGTCACCAGCCACATATTATTGTCAATAGACGCAGCGCTTCGGC